GAGAGCCAGATTGTGCACTAGGCAAATCTGAGGATGCCAGGAGAGAATGGGACTGTCCCTGGAAGGCAGCCAGTTGTCTCATTTTCCTGTCGTGTTCCCTGGAAGGTGCTCTGTGATGGCCAGCCCAGGTTTTTCTTAGGACTGTTGCTGAATTGTCTTAAATTAGCGACCAGTTTCAGAAGGTTTGCTTCAAGCGGTGGAGACAGTCGCTGCCCCAGGCTGTGGCTGCTCTGTGTCAAGTATGACAGCAGCTCCTGGAGGCTGTGTCAGCTGTGAGACCACGATTTCTCTCCATCATCCCACACAGACAGCTCTGGAGTCTCCGGGGAACCTGGCCAGGCCCTGTGGATGGCTTTCTATAGATCTGCCCCCATTCCTGGAGGAACATCCCAATGTGGATACCCGCCCGAGGCTGTGGGGGAACATTGCCACTTCTCTAATATTCCTGTATCCTCAGCAGTGTTAAAACTCACAGGAACTAGAGAGAAAAGGAACCAGAGAGACCCAGGCTAGCTAGAACTGAAGTTCTCGTGTTGCTTTGGGGAAAGTATAAAAAATGACATCTCTGAGGCTCAGTTTCCTTATTTGTCAGATAGGAACAATAAGAGCAATTTCTCTGTCACTTCCTGCAGCGGTAGCTGTGAATCCGTCAAGGGCACAGAGCATCAGAGGGTTAAGGGTGGAGATTGGAGTTGGGGGCAAGAAGTGTGCTGAGGAAGTTCTTTGGAAATGTCTGTCACTGTATCAGTATACGTGTTCTTACTTGTGGCTTTTTAATTTATGAATTATAGTAAGACATAGTTTTCTGTCTTACTGAATTTAGATTCCTCTGTCTGGGGTGGGCTTTCCTCATTAAAGGGTGTTCAGTTTGACAGGTTTTATTCTCTCCCTCTCTTCCCCCCTCTTCTCCCCTACCTTCACACTGAACTTGAACTGTAGTCCTTGGGTAGGAGTCCCGTAAGGAGCCTGTCCTGATTGCTTGGGAGTTTATTTTATGGCTGGCAGGTGATTGCGTGAACCTAAAGTAAACCCCTAGGATAGTAAATAATGTGATTGTTTAAGATTAGTCTTCAAAAGGAGGCAGCCATACTCTTGTAAAAATTTAACCTTATAGCCAGGAAGTGCCATTAAATTGGGTTAACAGTTCTTGCTGCTGCTTATAAACTTAGAAGCAGGCCCAGAGACCAGGAATTTAATCTGAAACCTGATTCTCTTTTGTTCACAATGAATCACATACATTTGGAAAGGAAGAGAATTATAACAACATTCCTGTTTTAGCTAGTCTCCCTTTACCAAAAACCAGATGAAAAAAATTGCAGCAGTTTTAAGGCTATCTTGCCTCCACGCCTCTCGTATATTTGCTGCCAGAGAAAGAAAACCTTCTGTTTATAATAACAACATCCACCCCACTGTCCAAAAAAGGTTCTGTCTAATTTCTAGTCTGATAACACCCTGCCCAATTATTGATTTTGGACAGCTAAAACCTATTGCAGCCAAAATCTGGGTTTTGACAGTACATTAGAATAGCACCGCATTTCACTAACTCAAAGATGCCATACATTGTAAGATACCTCCTGATTTCAGAGATGTTAACATGCATCTTAGACTTGGTGAAAGACAGCACAAGAATTTTCCTTGATAAATTTTGAGTAAATAAAATTTAGAAGACTTTCTTACCTCCTCCTGAAAGGGCTATTGGACATATATATTCTTTTTCAATGAAAAGAAATTTTTCTTTTTGAAAAAAATTTAATTTTATTACATTTCTGAAAATAACAGTATTGGTCCTTCTATATCCCTAAATCAGGGTTGGGACTCTGCAATATCTTCAGTTATTTTTTACTTTCTTAGTTTAAATTTCATATGATCTTCTATGCTAAGACACCTGCTTTTCAAATTTGGGCTTTTATTTTTTTTTTCTTTCTTTTTTTTAAAATATAATTTATTGTCAAGTTAGCTAACATACAGTGTATACAGTGTGCTCTTGTCAAATTTGGGCTTTTAAATGCAGGCTGTTAGTTATTCTAAGAGGAAATTGCTAAATTAAACAAATTTTAATATACATTATTCATTAAAAGTCATGTAAGAGGGGCACCTGGGTGGTTTAGTCGATTGAGCATCTGAATTCAGCTCAGATCATGATATCACTGCTTGTGGGTTCGAGCCCCGTGTTGGGCTCTGGGCTGACAGCTTGGAGCCTGGAGCCTGCTTCATATTCTGTATCTCCCTTTCTCTCTCCCCATCTCTGTCTCTCTCTCTCTCTCTCTCTCTCTCTCTCAAAAATAAGTAAACATTTTAAAACTTTAAAAAAAGTTATATAAGATTAAAATAGATATGTACGGGGCGCCTGGGGTGGCTCAGTTGGTTGGGCCACCGACTTCAGCTCAGGTCATGATCTCATGGTCTTTGGGTTGGAGCCCCATGTCAGGCTCTGTGCTGACAGCTCAGAGCCTGGAGCCTGCTTCAGATTCTGTGTCTCCCTCTCTCTCTTCTCCCCATCTTGTGTTCTATCAAAAATAAATAAACGTTAAAAAAATTAAAAATAAAATAGGTATGTATAGTTATTATAGTCAAGGAAATATATCATTGCAGAAAATTTGGAGAGATGATAATATTTTAATGTTTGCAAAACTGCATTAGGTATATCGATTAATCACCAGATTTACATATTGGAAGTTATTCTCTTATAAATTAGTGTCGTATTTTGATAGGTTTTAATTCTCTCCTTTCCTCCAACTCTTTTTATTTGTTCTTTACTAGTCTTACGTGTGTCTATTTTTTTCCAGATTACTATCTTGGATGCAAAACGGAGCATGAACATTGGGATATTTCTTAAGCAATTTAAGAAGTAAGGTTTTTGCACATATTTACAACTTTAGTCTCATCCACACTGTCAGCATCAGTCTGGGTGTGGCTGAGCTGAAATTCAGCTTCTAATAAAAGCAAAAGTCATTCCTCATACTTGTATATCCTTGTTAGATACATGGTGTGATGAGTACCCAAGTGTCTGTCATTCTCTGCTGTTTTCCTGCATGAAAACAGAACCTAGTGGCTTGAAGTACAGGGAGAGTTGCCTGGGGGTGTCTGTTCAAGCCTGTCATGTCAGGGAATTTATAAATTCATCTGTAGTGTTGCCCCTCGAGTGGAAGTTGGACTGGTGAGTCAACAGTGGTTAAATGCCAGTGTTCTAAAGTGGAAAGGAAAGGCTCGCCAGGTTTCCATGTGACCAAAGAGGATTGCTTTTCTTCACCCAGAGAAGACCCCCAGAGGTTGCTGCCTTTCTGGGATGCCCAAGGATGGGCTTCTGGATGAAGAGCGTGTCAACATCCCTGTTTTCCCTGGCAGTGGGGCCCTTGTGATCACTGACACAGCATGTCCCTCAGACTGGGAAGAAGGCGGGATGGCAGCAGGGTGGAGGTGATTTGTTTTAATTTCCACTGGCTTGTGTTTCTTTGGCACTTCAGCAAATGTGAAATGGAATCTGATTCATTGTCTCTTCAAGGTCTCCTCAGTCCATCGTAGAAGATATTCATCAAGGAAAGAGTGAACATTATGGATCAGAGACGCTGCGAGAATTTCTTAAGCTTTTGCCAGAGTCAGAGGAGGTAAGGAATTTGGCACATGAATTTTAGATGTTAGGAGTGATGATAAAACCTTAACATTTTTCAGAGTGTCAAAACTCACATGGGAAGGGGACTCTGCTACACCGAGCCAGAGTTTTCTCACCTAAAAGTAAAAAGTCACCTAAGAGAGGGAGTGTAAGTTGTAGAGTCAGGGAATCTAGGTTTAAACTGAAGCTGTACCCTTGCAAGTTTCCTAACTGCAGTGAACTCAGTTTCCACACCTGTGCAGAGAGGATGATGGTGCTTGCCTCGCTGGATTGTCAGGATGCTGAAAGCCTGGCTAGGCGCTGGATGTGGTACTCGGCACGTGGGACCTGAATCTGAACTTTGGTTTCCTTTTCCATCTTCCAGTGATGGTTTTTGCCTAGGCTGTACCCAGGTTATCTTATAAATACATACACTTTTTAAACAAAAAAGTAAAACGAAACCTCTTTGGGATGGATAGGCTCTAAAATTTTGGAGAGGTAGGTAAACTGTTAATAAATGTCTAATTGACTAAAAGGTGAAAATTGCTGTGATAGCAATATAGTACTACAATATAAAGTTATTGATCTTTTTTTTAGACTGAATTAACTGAACTGTTGAGTGGTTAGGAGCTTGACAGAAAAAAACAGTTTATAACATTGTCATGTTGCCGATTATTTTTGAAAAAGGGGACCCTGAAAAACTTCAGTAAGAAATTACATGAATACATGTGCTTGTAAACATTTGAATAATACAGAATCTTAAAGTGAAAAGTGTAAGTTATCCTTTCTACACATACCACTGCTTCCTCCTCCCGCATCCCTCTCTTCTTCCCAGACATAATTTATGGAATTCGACTTTAGTGCCATTGATAACAAGAGAAGTATATATCTGTGCTTTTTCTTTTATATCGATCAGTGATAAACTCACAATGCCAACTTGAGGGTCTTACGAGGTAGCTGGATATTCTAGGTGTATTTGGTAACCTGAACCTCTCTTTCTATGTCAGGTTTTCTGTTTGCAAATTAAGTGTAATTTATCTAAGCTAAGATTAATTTTTTTTTTAATTTTTTTAATCTTTATTATTTATTTTTGAGAGACAGAGAGAAAGAGAGGGAATGAGCAGGGGAGGGGGCAGAGAGAGAGGGAGACATAGAATCCGAAGCAGGCTCCAGGCTCTGAGCTGGTAGCACAGAGCCCCATGCGGGGCTCGAACCCACAAACTGTGAGATCATGACCTGAGCTGAAGTCGGACACTTAACCGACTGAGCCACCCAGGCGCCCCTAAGCTAAGATTAATTAACAGCATTTATTAATGTTAGTGGAGGGTCTTAAAGTCCTGAAGGGAAGGTACATTAAATCATAATTTACCCTGGATCTTATATGCTAAACAGTCCTTAGTCTTTTTCTTTCTCTTTTTCTTTTTTTTTAATGTAAAGAATGAGAGTCCCAAAAACCTTTTTTTTTTTTAAATTTTTTTTTTTCAACGTTTATTTATTTTTGGGACAGAGATAGACAGAGCATGAGTGGGGGAGGGACAGAGAGAGAGGGAGACACAGAATCGGAAACAGGCTCCAGGCTCTGAGCCATCAGCCCAGAGCCCGACGCGGGGCTCGAACTCACGGACCGCGAGATCGTGACCTGGCTGAAGTCGGACGCTTAACCGACTGCGCCACCCAGGCGCCCCCCAAAAACCTTTAATGAGGATGGATAGGATTTAATTAATTTGAATTTTAAAAGGATTGCGTTGGTCTCAAAATCTTACTCCTGCTTGGGCTTTTTTCATGCCTCCTCCTTAGGGCTGTTCTGGTTCCCACTCCTAACTGACCTCATCGTTTATTTAAGTGAGGATCAGATTTGATAGTACATGTGAATATGCTCTAAAAAGCTCTGAGTTTCTAACTAAATGGAGGTTAGGCATGGGGGAGACTGCCAGCTTTGTGCCATGAAGAGTTGGCAGATTAAGTACAGTTTCCTTAATGTCTTCATTTCTAATTTTAAATTCAGAGGTGATTAGAGAATGCAAAGGCTGTGGAAGACTCTGGGATTTTTCAGAGAAGCAGCTTAGCTGTCAAACCTCTCGTGTTTAAAAGAACCCTGCTTTTTGAGTTGTGTGTGGGATATAATTCAAATGTGTGGTGGGGGGGATGTTAAGGGCAAGATGACTAAAACCCACCCAGGCGCTGCCCTGAGTCCTGAGGCTTTCACTCACCCCCAGACAATTAGCTGACCCAGGAGACAGTGTCCTGCTGGGATGAAACACCGCCCTGGGATCCCGACAGGCGTCCCAGCCACTGAGCCAGGCTGCAGCTGCTTCTCCCTCCTCTGCAGGGTCATCCTCAGTCTGAATATCCGACAAGCTTGCTCACACTCTTTCTTGTTTACATTACTGACTCTTGGCTTCAGTTCACCACACCCTCCACACTCAACTGGGAGCTTCCTTCAGCAGGAACACCCTGACAGTCCCCCGGGGCATCTTTGCGCCCCTCCCTAACCCACTCTGGGGCTCTGCACTGGCCTGGCCAGGGGAGTCTTGGGGAAAGCCGAAGCCACCTCATGACCAGTGCCCCCTGCAAGGCCTTGTTGTGAGTGCTGCATGGCCTCTGGCACCACCCGGACCAGGGCCGACCCCAGAGTCTTGGTGGAGGGTGGAGGATGGGGATGAGGCCAAGAGGGAATCAGTGCCAAGTGAGAGAGGTTTAGGAATGTGGCAGAAATATGTTAATAAATGCACAAGTGTCTGCGTAACTGCATGTTGCTAAGTCTGTGGTGTAACGTTCTGTGCTCGTTTTTTGCACAAGAAGGGACTAAACATTTATTGAGTGTCCCCATGTTCCAGGCACGGGGCAGGGCAAAATCCAGTCGAGCGAGATAATGTGCTCAAGTGCGTACGTAGCCCAGTGCCTCGCACATAGAAAGTCACTAAACCATAGCTGGGATTATTTAGTGTGTCTCTTTCATTTAATTCTCCTGGCAACATTGTAAGATACTCCTCATTTTACAGAGGGGAAACTGAGGCTCACACAAGTTAGCCAGAGCCCATCTAGTGGCACATAGTTGATAAGCCGTTGAGGAAGGTGGATTTGCGCGTTATTTGAGCCCACAACAGTTCCTTCTGCTGCGCTCCACTGCCTCCCTTTGAGGAAGGAAGGGCAAAGGTTCTCAGGACCCCGCCTTGCACCGCACTGGCTTCCCAGCCTTTTCATCGCCCCTACTTTCACAGAGGACCAGCGTGAGTGTCACTTGAATGATACCGTAATCTTATCAGCATGTTGAAAATGCGAGCGGAAACAGCCCTTTTCTGTCCGCATTCTCAGCTGACAAGCCAGCAGAAGGTTAATTTGTTTTCAGGATCTCTCTGCCCTTCACCACAAATCTTTTATCTGGCGTTGTTTGTTCATCTCGCCTTAAACTCATGGTTGAAACTTGCAGAGGAAGAGGGTAGACCCAGAAATAAAAGCAGTGGGAGTGGGTTCTTTGTCCTGAAAAGTATTCCTGTGCCCAGAGAGGGGACAGGGAAGAGGCTTGTGTAGGAGCAGGGAGGACGGTGGAAGGGAGCCCTGACCCAGCCTGCAAGCCCTTCCCTGTGTCGGGGCTGGTGCCCCATCCCTGCATCACTGTCAAGGATAAAGGGCGGGAAGGTGGTAGAGATTTTCTGTTCTCTCTGGCATCAGGTTGGTTGTGTCCTTTGACATTTTCATCACTTCATCCCTAACTTCTTTGCTGACTCTGCCCCTGGGAGGGGAATGACAGGGGGGAAGCCCCAGGGTCTTCCGTTGGGTGAGTTTGTTGGTGGGAAATCTTGCTATTTCAAGGCCATGTGAGTGGAATTAGATGGGATGAAGGAGGTCTGCCCTTTGGAATGTGTGAGTCTTAAGGAGCATGCTGTTTGCTATTAGGACAGAAACCGGGCACAGCCAGGTCATAATGAGAGTCACTTGGCTCAGCCAACAAAATTATGCCTAACAATGTTTGATAAATGCTGTTTGATGATGACGAGAATGCACAATAATTATAGGGTTTGTTCACCTCTCTTTTACCTCCCTACCACTGCGAAGGTACGATAATCCCTCTTAATGAACATAAGGCTCATTTTGAAATGGAACTAAGAACTGTATACATGGCACTTAAATTCAGGACTATCTTTCCATCACCATTCTCTTGAAATCCATAAACATTTTTTTAGCTCTTTATACAAGTGAAGGAGATTAATCATTGTTCAGTTAGAGTTGAGCACATGTTTAATAGAAATATCTACCAAGTTGATTTAGCATGACCTATTCCTATGTTTTAGACAGAAAATTGTGCTGTTTTCAGAAGCTTTGCACATGCTGCGTAGATGGTCTTACAAAAGGTACAACCTCAATCTGCCCCTGCCCATATATAGTGAACCACCAAACTCTAGTTCACAAGGGATCAGGATTCATCCTGTGGCTTTCTCAGTTCAGCCAGGCACTGGTTTGGGTTTAGCTAAACCAGAAATTCCGTCTGCCCTTAAACTGAGTATGGCTAAAAATGGTAAATTCACTTTGGGGCCCTAAAGGTAGGGGAAATAATGCAGTTTGATAAATGGCTATTTTCTGCCCGTTGGGGAAAAAAAACCAAAAACCAAAAAAACCGCAGTCTTAACCACCAGTGAGTCTGCACTATTACGTTTTGAATTTTCAGGTAGTTGATGTAGCTACTTCAGCTTGTGGATCTTTGCAGATTTTCCCTCCCCTGTGTTTTGGAACTGTCGTTTCCTATTTTCCAAGAGACAGACACATCATGTTATTTTTATGGGACCCCCCCCCCGATAACCCAGGGGATGGAAGAGAGTAGTAAGCTTTATAAAGAGTCCTGAAAGATGGTAAGTGCTTATTGGCAACAGTTAGCTGCAGAGATAGGCCGTCTACTTAAAAGTAGCCCCAAGGTTCTACTTACCGTAAAGCATTTTTGTTGGAAGATGCTAGACTACTACTACAGGGGACGTAAAAGAGTTTTTCCACTGGGTGGGTCCCGTTTTCTATGGGAGGAAGGCATTGACTTGCTCTGATGCAGTTTGAGAACTCTCTCTTTGCTTCCATCCCCACCTGCTAGCTGTTTGGCTATGTTCCCATGTCAGAACTCTTTTGTTTTTCTTTGCTATGGTTGAAGGAATAACTTTTAGTTGAGTTTAATGTTTTACAAGAGTAATGCATGTTCATTGTAGACGTGAGAAAATAAAAATGAGCAGCAGAAGAAAACAATAGTCGCCTTAATCCTATCACCCGTGTAAGTGGCCCTTTTTAGTCTTTTGCCTGTGTATAAGGTGTGTACATGGAAGGTAGGGGGGCATAGTGGACGCTTTTTAAAAAATTTATAGAAATGGGATCTGACTGTATATATTGTTTTATTACTTGATTTTTTTCATAGGGGGATGTCTTGACCTTGACCTCAGCTGCTTAAGCCATTTTCCTTTTTACCTTCCTTCTGGAGGGCCAGCGTGTAGTGGCCTCAGCACACAGTATCCCCTTCCTATAAAGTTATTCTTGTGGAGGGGGACTTGGGCCACAGCAAGGTCGGTTAGCACTTACCCAGTCAGAATATTTTATATCCAGAATACCCAAAATATTAAGATTTTTTCATTAAGAACTTAGAGGACCATGTTATAATGGTAACCCAGTCTTTTCTGTCTTCTCCCAGTGATCTCCCTTCCAGATTATAACTTTACAGAAAATTTTCATCCTTAGATCTGACCCTTTAGTAACCTCCCTGAGGATTCCTATGGCTCCGGTTCTGTGGTTTGATTGGGATTGTTTATACCCACAAACGTGACACAACTCTTCTCTTTCTGATTTGTTTGGTTTATCTTCTTTCAAAAAACAACATAGTAGATGTGGTGATTTCCTTTTCTGTCTTTTCTTGGGCCTACATTTTTGATTTGAATTGAGCACTGAAGTCTCATTTTCTTAAAGGAATTTTAAGATGAAACTTAAAACAATGTTACCTTTTAATCATAAGTTATTTTTTTGTCTGCCTTCTTTTCCATTTGTCTTTTAGATAAAGAAATTAAAAACATTTAGTGGAGATGTGTCCAAGCTGTCGCTGGCAGATTCCTTTCTGCACTACTTGATTCAGGTGCCAAAGTAAGGATAATCCATCACTCTTCTTTTCAGAGTAAGGTTTTAAAATTAATGACATAAGATTCTACAGGTTTGCTTTTTATTTTTCAGCTATTCACTTCGGATTGAAGCCATGGTGCTAAAGAAGGAATTTTTACCTTCTTGTTCTTCTCTATACACAGACATAACAATTCTAAGAACTGCTACAAAAGGTAAGTGAATACGTGATGCTTCGTGTAATTTGTTTTTATTAATTTTGGTAGCAGTTTATTTTATTTTAATACTTATTCTTTTCTTACTCGTTTTTGAGAGACCGAGGGAGACAGAGTGCGAGTGGGGGAGGGGCAGAGATAGAGGGACACACAGAATCCGAAGCAGGCTCCAGGCTCTGAGCTGCCAACACAGAGCCCAATGCAGGGCTCGAACTCACGAACCGTGAGATCATGACCTGAGCTGAAGTCGGATGCTTAACCGATTGAGCCGCCCAGGCACCCCAAATATTTATTCTTTTTAGTAAGCATTCTTCTCTTAATTTTTACAAATTCATTTACTTTTTTAATTCCAGTGTGCTTAATGTACAGTATTATCTTAGTTTCAGGTGTGCAATGTAGTGTTCAACAATTCTATACATCACTTGGTGTTCATCATGACAAGTGCACTCTGTAATCCCTATCACCTATTCCTCCCATCCCCCCACCTACCACCCCTCTGGTAAACACC